GGATTATTTTATCTTCATGCATTTACATTTCCTTGATGTTGACACGGAGGGTTGCTTGCGTGTGGAATCAAAGCACCGTTTCGCAGTCTCCTGCAACCCCACACCTCCTGCTGAGGGTTTTTATAGGTCCCAAATCAAAGTGCAGAGTATCAGTGGTGGGCACGTCGCACCTCGAGATGGCTGACGGTTCCTGCGCCGAGCTTCCAGCGGGTGCTCTCCGGCGTTACTTGCTTTTTGTTTCCCTTGGCGTGGCTGTGCTCAGACCCCAGGCTCTCCTGAAGCACGTTGGAGGTGCCTGGGCTACAGAAGGCTGAAAAGCAACGTGGATGAAAAACGTGCGTGTCCTGGGGTCCGGCTGGCTCCAGCCCTGGGAGGGAACGTGGATCTGCAAAGTCTGGCTGCAGAAGGCAGCCTGGCCAGCCGCCCGCCTCCAGACGGTTCAAACCCCGTGCGGGGAAGGCAGCCGCGGGTCTCCCGGCGTTAGCACACCTCAAATGGGGAATCCAGCATGGGGGGGCATGGCGTCCCCAGCGCCCTGGGGTCCTGCGAGGGGCTGGCAGTGGCTGCGACTCCAGTGCCCGGACGTGCCGAGGAAGGAACCTGCCCTCTCAGGGTCCCCCTTTCCTTTTTTTTAGGGGGAAGGAATGAGATTTCCCTCCGTCTCCGGCTGCAGGGCTGTGTGTGTGTCCGTGCTGCTGCCCGCCGGGGGTCGTCACCTCCCTACGGAGCAGCCCCCAGCCCCGGGCACCGGGTCCCCTCCACAGCCATTGCCAAAGAGGTTTCACCCAAAATAGGGGGAGTGGGGAGATGGGGAGGTGGGCAGCAGCCAGGAAAGCGGGTGAGATGTGCGTCAGGGTCCAGCACCTTGGATGCCAAAGCCAACCTTGGAGCTGCAGCCTCCAGCCTGGGCTGAGCAGCATCCCCAGGGTGCTCTCCCCGGTTTTTAGGATGCTTTCTGCTTTCTCCTGTCCCCCCGCCGGTTTCCAGAGCCCGTCGTGGCCAGTATACCCACAGCCTGTCACCAGTCGCTGCCGAGAGCTGTCCCTTTGTCCTGCCTTACAGAAATCCTCGTTGGTCTGGAGAGGTGGCCTCTCCTGCTTGGAAACAAGCTTTAAACTGGGGGAACTGGGCAGCTGGCTCTCATTACAAAGCGGGGTCCGTGGCCTCTCGCAGGTTTTGGTGTAACGGGAGCTCCCGTTTGCCCTTCCACCAGCAGCTGATGTGCATCACGGTGGGTCCAAGCGCTTCGTGCATCTCCCTGCGCGGCGTTGCTCCCCCTCCCAGGGTGTGACCGAGGCACAGAGGCTCCTCGGTGTGCCTGGAGTGCCAGTCTTAATGGAAGGGACGGGAGAAGGCAGCTTTCCTCCTTCCCACCGCTCCCCGCAGCTGAGTGCAGAGGGGATCACTAATGGGCTGCGCTGCCGGAGCCGTGTGCCGGCGAGAGGCAGGGCTGGGCAACCCGCGCGCCGGGCTGCTGGCCAGGACACCCCCTGCAAGCGCATTTCTGTGAAAGCTTTGGCGGATGGGATGCGATTTCATACTGGAGGGAATCCAGTTTCCTTACTGGGTCTTGCACCGGTTCACCCAGCGAGAGGAAAATGTGTTGCTGGTTGTGTTGGGTTGTTGAGCTGGAAAATGGAGCATCCTGTGGGTCCTCAGGGTCCTTTCCAGAGCTGCTGAGATATGGAGCAGCCTCGATAGGAGGGCAGATGGGCTCGGGACACAGCGGCTTGGGCGGCAGATGCCCCTGTGCATCCCGAGTGACTTGGTGACGGGGACCGCGGTTTTGGGGACCAACGGGGCAGGCAGGAGGAGGTGGGAATCAGAGGAGAACCTTTGGAGAGCAGGATTCCTGCATCCTTGCTCAGACCCATAAAATCTCACTCGCAGTGGAAAATCTGACCTTGTATTTTCTTTTTCAAGTCTCTGATGAGCTGGTTGTGGGTTTGAGCAAGCGCGGTCTGTAGAGGTCGTTGGAAAATGGGGCTTGTTTTGCATGACCTTTAAAAAAGCCCCATGGGTTTTATCTTCCCCCACCTACCCACATTTTCTCAGATATTTTTTGTCACCTATACTTAGAAAGACAACGCCAAATCTATTCTCATGAAAATATTTTGCCAGCACCAGTTGTGTTTTTTTTTTAAGAAAAACTATAAAATTTCAATCACGGGGAGAGGAAGAGAAGTCCCATGGAAAGACTTGTTTTCACTGACGAGCATGTTTTGACAGGAGTATTTCAGCCAGCGCTGATGTTTTGAGCGCATCTATCAAAAGATGGAATTCATTCCTGTTTTGGCCTCCTGAGAAACTCTGCCGGTAGCGCCCAGCCGAGGGGGTCTCATGGGGTGAGGCGCTGAGGTTGTCCAGCCGCGAGAAGGATGCAGAACCCTCTGGAGCCCGCCGTTAAGCAGTGCAATGCCTGTCCTTTCCATCTCCATCCCAGAAGCGCTGCCTAAGCATCCTCCATCCACAGCCCCGGGTGTGCAAGCATCCCGGTGCCCTGTCCTGTAACATCCTTCGTTGTGTTTGTGGGACCCCCCGCTCACCCGTGGAGACTGGCACCCAAAAGCACGGCGTGGTCCGGGTTGTTCACCCTGGGAGGAGTAAGTAGAACACTTACCGGAGAAGCTGAGTGCAAGTTTGCTGCCCTGCCAGAGAAATAATCCCGAGGAATCAGAGGTTCTCAATTATTCATGTTTTCCAGAATCACATTATTTCTTCCAGGGTCTGTTTTATAAATGCTGCTGCTATTTCTGATGGTAAATAACAATTTTGCATTATTTATGAACAGAGTTTTTACAACTGCTGATATTACAGCTGCTGCCAAAGCACTGGGAAAATGATTATTACTGTTTGTTGTTGTTTCTTTCTTACAATACAACCCTCTTGTTCTCTGCATGATGATGATGATGATGATGATGATGATGATGATGATGATGATGTGCCTGTCCTGGTGTGACTGCCGAGTGCTCCATCGGTGCAGCGAGGACCAGGGTGTGAGTGCACGGGGGTGACTGGGATTGCCATTGAGCTTGTGGCTGGTGCTGGGAGCTGGGATGAGCTGGGGATGGATGGGGTCAGGACCCTGGGTAGTGGTTAAACTGGAAGAGGAGGAAGGTCTGATTATCTCCCTGTGCCAGCCGTGGAGAGGTCAGTGGGATGTACATACTTCCCCTGTTAGTGCTCCAGGGGACATCAAAGGTCACACCTGGATTTTGCAGATGGGCATTTGGAAACACTCGTTTCCAGGAGGGTGTCATTCAGGAACGGGCTCGTTCCTGGGGCTGGGCAGGATGGGCACCTTGTCACCCTGCCGTGGCACCTCCTGCGCACCGTCGGGGAGCTCAGGGGTGCTGGAGCTCCTAAGGTGGGATGTCCTCCAGAGACTCTGCTGCTTCTGCTCGGCATGGATTTCAGATGACACCCTGCAGAGGAAAAAAAATATCCCTCACCAATCCTTCGCGTTTTAGTGGTTCAGTCCCTTGCAGATGTGTTTCTTTGTTGTCCCCTCCGACTTGGGGGAGAGTTAGTGGACGCTAAGACGTGTTTGCTAACGAGACCCTTGCATTTGTAAGTAGCTTCAGGCAGCAGAAGCTCCAGCACAGCTTCACCCCAGCTCTGGGAGGGGTTTGGAGCAGAGAAATCTGGATGAAAACCTTCGGGACAGGCAACAGTGAGATATCTGCCCAGTGCTGGGGACAAAATATCTGTCCTGTTAGTTAAAGAGTGGTTAGAGCTTTCTGAATGGCTTCTGCTCCATCCCACCCAGCTCTGCCAACACTGCGTGGGGCGGTGGGAGGTGGCCCCCGGCCGGGTGTCAGCTCCGTGGGTGACTTTGCACCAGCTGCAGGTTATCATGTGGCTCTTCAGCTGCCACCTCTGTCACCTGCCTCGGTCTCATGCCCTTCGTGTCGTGCTGTTCCTGCAGAAGATGGAGCAGGGCTTCCAGAGCGGGAGCTGGGACATACCCTGGGCAGCGGGATGTGCCGGAGGAGCCTCTCCTCCCTCCTCCTGCATCCCTGGCCTCCAGCCGTGTCCGGCCAGCCGGGGGCTGTGCAGGCGTGCGGGGATGCGGGAGCTGCTGCTGGCAGCGAGGGGGGAGATCAGAGGTTCGCAGCGTGATGGAGGGGTGTCTGCACGCCTTGCTCCCCTCCCCGCCCGCTGCCTTGATACCCAAACGGCAGCGCGGCGCTTTCGAGGCTCTGACAGAGCAAATTGTGATGCAGCTGGTCCCGCGGCTTCCACTGGGCTTTGCTCTGGGGGGGATAAGGGACTTTAGCACACAGCATCGTGGATGGGATGAGCTCACCGTGCTGCCACCCATCCCTGCCTGCAGGGACGTGAAACACCCTCGGGTCCCAGCGCCGGCACCTGGGCAGCCCCCAGCCCCGCTCCCGGCCCTTCTGTCCCCCTCAGAGCTGCAGCAGGTCACTGATAGTGGCGGGGCCGCATCCTTCAGCCCCGGCTAAGCCAGGTGAAAAATGTCCCCGTCGTTCCCAGGGCAGCCTCCCCCCTGCCCGCTGCGCCCAGGGGAGCTGCTCCCCACCTCCCCGTGCTGCCGTGTCCCGTAACCCCAACACCGAACATCCCGTCCTTCCCCAGGTCAGCCTGCTCAGCGGCTCGATCATCCGCCTGAACTTCGTTTCTCCCGCTCCGCAGCGACACGAGGGTTTATCCAGCCCAGCCTGACAGCGGAGAGCGGCGCGAGCGGAAGGACTGTGCAGAGACTTGGACCATTTGTTTATTATTTCCCTCCCCAGCCTGTCTGGAGAATAACATCTCTTAAAATACTCTGCAAACCAAGGCACTGAACAGGCTCACGGGGACGGAGCACCTCGGTGCCATCCACCAGCCCGTTGCTCGGGGCCGGCGAGAGCGGGGATCTGTCTCACGAATGCCATGTTGTTATGGAGCCAGAGACAGGATTGAATCCAATTATGTTGCTGTCGGAAAACAGAGTTAAATGTAAACTCTGCTGTGTTTTCTCCTTCTTTCTGCAGATCTTCTCCATCGTGGTGTTTGGCTCCATCGTGAACGAGTGCTACGTGAACGCGGACAGCCAGAACCCCGAGCTGCTCTGCATCTTCAACAAGAATGAGAGTGCCTGCAGCTACGGCATCGCCGTCGGCATCATCGCCTTCTTCGGCTCGATCTTCTTCTTTGTGGTGGACCTCTACTTCCAGCAGATCAGCAGCGTGAAGGACCGCAAACGCGCCGTCCTGCTGGACCTCGGCTTTTCAGGTAGGTCCCTGACTTTGCTCAGGAAGGATGGCGTTGGCTCCGTGGGCGGCGTGGGGTTGTTGCTGTGCCCTGCGGCTCTGCTCTGAGTGCTCCCCTCTCCTCCCACATCTCGTGTGCCTCAGTCGGGGAGAGCGGGGCTGGCAGAGGGCTTGTCCCATCCAGCCGTGAGCTCAGAGCCAGCAGGGAGGAAGGCGGTGTGTCCCAGCTTGGGGACAGCGGGGTGTCCCACTCGTCCGTGTCACTTGTGCAGCCGGAGGTGTTCACTGAGCTGGGTGAGACCACCCGGAGAAAGGAGGCTTGGTGGCTGCATCCCAGAGACCAGACGGGATGTTTTACCCTCCCACATCTCCTGTTCCTGGCTCAAGCCGAGCTCGTCTCATCGGTTACATCTGGGTCTGTTTTCCCTTGCCGCCTCTGTGTTTTGGAACAAAGCAGGGACACGCTTCGACACGTCACCGTCATCCCCTGCCGCCTCTGGGACCGCAGCGGGCAGTGGGGCTCCCGAGGGCTGGCACAGCTCCTCTGCCCCATCCGCAGCCCCTCGACCCGGGGCTGCTCGGTGTGAGCACGAGCCGGTGGGATGCCGGGAGCCGGGAGAGGCTGAGCTCCCTGGCTGAGCTCGCAGCTGGTGTTCCCCTTCCAGGCTCTTGTGCTAGCAAAGTCTGAAGGTGATTATCCAGCACAAGCGTCACTGGTGGCTCTCTGGTCCCCAAATGAAAACATCTCTCATCGCCCTCTGCACTTGCATGTTTTTAAGGCTGGGCAGCTTAAAGCTCTCCTTGCTGGAAGCTGATTTCCGTGGTGCTAGAGTTGCCTCTTCCTGCTGGAGCGTCTCCCCGCCAGCAGCTCCTCACCCTTCTCGTACGATCCCTTCCTTCCCACCTAACGAACCATTTCTCACAGGGCACCTAGCGAGCGCTGTGCTGAAATGCAGCTCCGTGCTGATATAACTGGAAACGCTGTCCCGGGATCTTGTAAGAAAGCCCATGAACTCCTCTCCCCCCACGGCTGTTTCCCATCTCCTCCTGACCCCCGATTCCACGCATCGCTGCCGATCACAGTTGCCGCGTTGACTCCCAGGGGCTGGCGAGGGTCCCCGGGCTCGGGCAGGAGCTGCTCAGTGTATTTTATCCCATTCCTATTGCTGTACCTTCACTTTTCGCAAATGACGGCTGCCCCAAACCTGCCTTACAGCCCCGCTGCCGCAGCCCGCACACCCCCGCGCACGGAAATGCCAGGCAGTTGGCTGCTCCTGGAATAAGCGTCAGTACAGGCAGATCCCGCAG